CGGTTTTCCCAGTTGCAATGTATGGCTGTGAAAGCTGGACCATAAGGAAGGCTGAGCGCCAAAGAACTGAGGCCTTTGAATTGTGGTGCTGGAGGAGACTCCTGCAAGTCCCTTGGACCGCAAGGTGATCAAACTGGTCAGTCCTAGAGGAGATCCACCCTGACTGCTCTTTAGAAGGCCAGATCCTGAAGATGAAACTCAAATACTTTGGCCACCTAATGAGAAGGAAGGACTCCCTGGAGAAGAGTCTGATGCTGGAAACAATAGATGGCAAAAGAAGAAGGGGATGGCAGAGGATGAGGTGGCTGGATGGAGTCCCTGAAGCAGTTGGTGTGAGCTTGAGTGGACTCCGGGGGCTGGTGGAGGACAGGAAGGCCTGGAGGAATGTTGTCCATGCGGTTGTGATGGGTCGGACATGACTTCGCGACTAACAACAACAGTTTCACAGTCCCATCCTCATTTCCCGTAACACCAGCACAGCAAGTGACTGGATAACAATGCTGGAGTGCATGGCAGAGCAGGGAAGGTTGGAGCCGCCTATGCAATGGGCTCTTGGACCATTGCAGTGTTTATTATCCATGGTGCTAAGCTCATCCTCCAAAATAGGATAACTACCATGGAGTATTATGGATAAACCCCTGTAAAGTTGAACACAAACTGGTAACTTCACCTTAGTCCTTCTCTTTCAGTAATGCTGCTAGACCTGCCTTTAGGATGCTTCTTGCTGGTGGAGGGCCAGATTGTGTGATCTATGGAACCCTTCTACTTCGGTGGGTTGTCTCTCCTGATGCCTCCTCACTGGATCAAGAACTGGGTCCCACATGTGCTCCCTCTCCTGTCCTAACACCCTTCCAAAACAGGCCTGATTTCACACATCCAGCGTGAAAAGGGGAATTGTGGACTTATATGACAAAGAATCTTTGTGCACATACTTAGTCCATTTGTACTTTGTGCATTTGTAGATGTTCAAAATGAACGAAAAAATATTGAAAGGTTAAATACTTAATGTGCCCAAGTCTTAGGTCTTAAGCAGAATCTGTTGTTCATACTCTTCCATTAAGCTAGGTAGCCAATTTATTTATTTATTTATTTATTAAACTTCTATTCCACCCCATTTGCCAAAGTCTCGGGGCGGCTTACAACAATAAATAAATATAATCATATAAAAACAATATAATTGGAAACACCCTGGCCAAAGATATAAAATCAATAAATAAGTAACAATTAAAATGCCGTTTAAATAAAAACATCTTGGCCTGGCGCCGAAAAACAAATAATGACGGCGCCATGCGGACCTCTCTGGGGAGCGCATTCCATAGATTGGGCGCCACCACAGAGAAAGTCCTCATCCGGGTACTTACCCTCCTAATATCCTTCACGGAGGGTTCCCGGAGAAGGGCCTCTCCCGCTGATCTCAAGGAGCGGGAGGGCAAGTATGGACGTAAGCACTCCTTTAGGTAACCATATATGGGAAAATGGGAAAATTTCAGTTCATAAAATTTCAGTTCATAAATATATGGAAAAATGTCAGTTCATAAAAGAAACTTTTTTACTTCTAAGGAATCATACCCATAGCTGTATTTGTGCAAGCAAATGAACAGATGATCTATTTTATCCAGTGGAAAGTTACCTGAAAACTTCTTTTCTCTTACAAAGAAATGTGAATTATGTTTGTAATAAAAATGACACAACTCCTGTGAAAATAGCATAACTGGCTCAACATAATGGCTGGGTTCGCATCCTCCTACAACTGCTGCTCTTTTCAGGGGATTCTGTGGTAGCTGCATACAAGGACTTTGAAACCATGATGCTGTGTTCAGATACCTGGAGAAACCATGGTGAAGTGCAGAAACTGTAGAACAGATTGTGGTTTCTAAAATCAAGCATACCATGCTGAAACGCCACAACATGGTTCATACAACATCCCATCCCATCCTGTGCACGAAACCATGGTGGCCTATCATGCTGTGCAAACGCTTCCAATATCTGGAATGGCTATTTCGCATGTTGTTATTTCATGATGTGTGCTGTTTCTTTGTCATTGTTATTGGTCATCACTGTGCGGTAGAAAACCACTGTACATGATGACATTAAGTTATATGATAAGTTGCGTAGCAGTCTGGAAGTTGATGTTTTTGACAGAAATCAGTTGTGGTGTGTTTTGTATCAACTGGTGAGTTTGGCAGTCATTTTAAGGTATTAAATCCAGTTTGGTAAATATTGCTAGAAAGAACCTGCTAATTCTGGTTTATCCCAGTTTCTTATTTCCTCATTATAAAGTCTGGCTTGTTCCAAACTTTGAGCATTTTCTTTTAAAAAAGTGTATGAAAATTCATACCCATGTTTTCCAGATACATGCATTTGGGTATTTCTATGTAATATACTCATTCTATTCAACCAGTTTTTCTGATACAATGCATTTGCTAATATCTCTCCAATCCTCAATGTCCACATTTTTAATGCATTTTTAATTGGAGTCTCCCATTGTAAAATTCAGACAGGTGTGGATTTTGAAGAATAACCAAGTTTTCGTTCAAACAGTGGCTTGAAAGTGCAAAATTAAATTCAACAAATGTCTTCCACTTCCTTAGCTATGGCACAGAATTACTCTAAAACTGAATGAGATCTCTCTGTCTGCCCCATGACTAACCTCACATAGTGAAATTAGGTTATGGTCCTTTCAATATTAATAGCTGGATAAATAACTCTAAGCCTAGCAGTTTGAATACAATGCAGCTTGACACTCCAAGCTTCCCTCAAAAGCTTCTCAGTTTGTAAGGTCATTCAGAGCTCGTGCTGCATCAAAAAAGCTCACAGAATATGACTTCAACACAATCATTATGTATAGCCATGCATTCTGGGAAAGAGAGGTACGTGCACTGCTTTTCAAGTTTTTTACAGGCCCAACTGAACCTCTAATTCCTGAATTTCATTCTAGCGTTAAACTGGGACAAATAGGCATAGAGTTCATGTCCATGCATACAAAATGGTTATTTAATGACTTTTAAGTGTTTCGTTTTATACTTATAATATTATTCTAGCAAGTTTTCAATGGACCAGAAACAACCCATAATGAGAAACTATGGACTGGATGTTGCTGAACAACCTGTACTGCACAAAGTACATATTAAATGATCTTTAGGTTTACAGAATAAGCACTTTGCATATGGAGCAGGCACTCTTGCCAAGTTTTTCGTTGTGGATAAAGAAGAAAAGACCTACTTCACTTGAAACCTTGGACCAACAAACTAGCTTTAAAGGCTTTAACCAGGCACTGCAATTGTAGTACTGCTAAGTTGTAGTTATGTTCCTATTTGTTGCTGCCCCACAAGGAGAATTTAAGCCATTAAAACTTTGTTAGACTTTTAAATGTTTCCAAAGCACACCTTTTCTATGAAGATTTTGACTTAAACTCTTAGTTCTAGTGATGGCGTGAATTCATAGGATGAATTTCCATGCTTAGAAAGGCATCACTTTAAGTTAGTCTTAAGAGAGCCTGAATTTGAGGATTAGCTCAAAATGCATTTGTTGGTTGCATATATACTTCACTGTGTTCCATGGGCTCAAAATGCACTTATAGCAGTGTTTATAGAGGTCAATGTTTCAAGGAGTTCATAAGCTAAGCTAAAGAAGATTGCTTATGAATGGGATAAGGAGTAGGAAAACCTAGCTAATGACACAAGTGGAGTCAAAAAGAAGCCAAAAGAGAACACCGTTTCTCTGTTAGTTTGTATGTTAATACCAAATGTGTGCACCTCTTGTACAATTAGAAATAATTACTTCAATTTAAATGGAAATACAAAAAATCTCATAATAGAAAACATTAAGCTCAAGTAATCTCTGTGTTGCTCAGTTTCCTATCCAGATGATAACTGCTGATGGGCAATTTCAAGTCAACAGCTCTCTCTTTTTGAGGCATTGGACAGTGTCCAATGTGACACTATCACTGACAGACTGCATTGCACTAGCAGAAATGTACCTTTAGCTCAATGCCAATTTCATGGAAACCCTCTGCACCAGCAAGTACCTTTGGTGTTGCAGAATATGTAATTTAAATGAGTGCAGTGTAATTTACACTAGCAGTAGTGTCACATTGGATGCTACAGTTTATTTGCACCTTTAAATTGACCTAGGCTGGATGGTCCTTGCCAAAAGCAGATACTTTCAAATAGAGGACTAGATGGTCATCCTAGAGTGAAACCTGCTCCCTGAGGACAGGAGCTATTACCCCTGTTGTTGCTCTTTGCACACCAACAAAGCAAAACCAAAAATACTTCTCTCAGTTTTCAGGTACTCAGCAGTCAGCACCACAGGGAGGCCCCAAGGGACAAGATTCTACCTAAGTCCTTTAGGGATCTTTCAGGAAGCACAAGCAGTCAAATAAGCTGCCCAGACAGAATAGGTAAAGGATGGCAAAAGAAGCATCTACATCCTTCACACACCTCCTTACAGCAAGGTAAAGACTGAAACTCTGCATTCTGAGAAATGTCTCCAATCCTTAGCACTCCAATGAAAGAGCAGAAATCTTGTATTACTGTAATCAATGCACGCAATAACATCAGTGGCTTTTTAGATGAGGAGAATTTCAAAAACACCCCTGCTTATTGAGACATATCATTTATCTTAGTGATAAACAACCATTCCTTGAGATTGAACTAACATTTGAGAAAGGTTGCTAGCACCAGAATAAACTCTCTTTAAAACAGCTATAACAACCCCTGGTGATAATGTATTTATCAGTTTTACCTTCCTGGAAATATAAAAACAACTGAAAAGAGTGAAAAAAAATACCTCGTTGTATAGTGTTAATAATCACGGCAATGTAGACTTCTGGATCTTGATCAGTGGTAATCAACTGATTGTTTTGGTCTATATTCAGTATTTGATAGATAATGGCTGAATTCTCAATCCCACATAGGAAAATGACCACACTTTCAGGAGGCTGAAGAATCTTGTCCAGAAAGTATCTTTTCTTTAGGTTCAGGCAGTTGAGAAGCCTACTTGATAATATCAACAGTTTACATCTGTAAGAGTACAGAGGTTGCAATTCTGAGGGCTGAATGGATGCCATTTCTAGATCACATAGCAAGATTCCGTCTTCTGAAACAACATGCACGAGTACTGATTTTAAATACAGTGCCCACTCCTCTGTATCTTCTTCATAGATAATAAGAATGTCCTGTGTGTTTTCTGAAAGAAAAAAAATGTAGAAAATTGTCACTTACTACATTAGCTATAACAACTTCTGATGACAATTAAGGGATATTTCAGCTCATGCATCCCAAAATTCTTATGCATTACTTTTATGAAAAATTACTATAAAAGACATAGGTAAATGGTTCTGTTTGAATCAGGCCCAAGTGGGTTATCTCCAACAAAGATCTGTAGGAAATACCTGCTGTACCCCTATTGGCTCAATGCACATCATCTATTGCTAATTTTTGGTTATGGGTTTGCCTCTGAGATCATGCTGAAGCAATTATAAAAATGCAAACCACATTCCTAAGTTATTTGAGTTTTTTCTACAACAGACCCTTAATCTTCTGCAATTACTTCGGATTTTATCACAGAACTGACTGCTATATGAAGAATAATTCTTTCTCTACTTTTCCATTACATAACCTCTAGGTGGCACTGTGATTTATTTATTTATTTATTTATTTATTTATTTAAAACATTTCTATGCTGCCCCACCGCAACAAAGCCTCGCGGTGGCTCACAACAAAAACAAACAAAAGCATATAAAAATTATACAATAAAAATATTAAAACCCAGTGCATCTTGGCTTAATAATTTAAAAAAACCTACATAATAAATTAACAATTAAAATAAGTTTTAAATAAAAAGGTCTTAGCCTGGCACCGAAAAACAAATAACAATGGCGCCAGGCGGACCTCTCTGGGGAGCGCATTCCATAGGTGGGGCGCCACCGCAGAGTAAGCCCTCCTCCGGGTACTCACCCTCCTAATATCATTCACAGAGGGTTCCCAGAGAAGGGCCTCTCCTGCTGATCTCAAGGAGCGGCCGGGCATATATGGACGCAAGCGTTCCTTTAGATACCCAGGGCCCAAGCCGTTGAGGGCTTTATAGGTCATAACCAACACCTTGAATTGGGCCCGGACTTCAATCGGGAGCCAGTGAAGGTTACGGAGAACTGGGGTTCTATGAGAACAATGCCCAGTCCCCGTCAGCAGCCTGGCAGCTCTATTCTGCACCAATTGAAGTATCCGGACCGTCTTATATAGGATAGTAACACAAGCATAGAAGTGGAAAAACTTTTCTTTCCCTTTCACAAATAACAGTGAATGTCCCCTATTCTAAACATTACTCAGCAAAATAACTCTTTAGGCACAGAAGCAAAAATAGACAGTTGTGACATCTTCTAAAGAACCATGAACAGGGAAAAAGGGGTACATGATAACTGTCTGATCTTAAAAAAAGCTAAGCGTCATTCCTCTAGCATTTGTGGACTTACTCCTGGCTTGGCTCACTTTCTAAGACAGGGCGGAGCATGTGTGCAAGGTCACAAACACTAGAGGAATGGACTCCACAGAGCCTCAGAGCCTCCCAAAGTCTGAGAAGGAGAATTTCAGACCTTCCTATGCTGTTCTGGGTAATAAAACATATCCTAAGCAGCAGAAGCAAGCAATAAAAGCTTTAAGCTAAAACATTCTGCTGTTTTTGGCATTTGCCCTTGCCCCTTTCCCATTAGTCCAGCACGCTGCAGGACAGCAGCCTGCTAAACACTTCTCTGAAATCAAATTCATTTCTTGGGGACTGAACATTGGACGTTCTCAAACAATTGGGAGTTCTCAAACATTGGACGTTCTCAAAGCATTTAGAAAAAGAGTCTAGAAAAGTGACAATGGTAGGAATGGCTGGACACCTGCCAAGGGCCCAGACCATGCTGGGGGTCTATTGATGAGAGCCAGTGTGGTGCCGTGGTTATGAGCATGGGACTGGGACTGGGACGACCTGCGTTCTAGTCCCCGCTCGGCCATGGAGCCAACTGGGTGACTTTGGGCCAGGCACAGACTCTCAGCCCAACCTACCTCGCAGGGTTGTTGTGGAGATAAGATGGAGGAGGAGAATGATGTAAGCTGCCTTGAGCCCTTTGTCGGAAAAAGGCAGGATATAAACCGAAAAATAAATAAGTAAGTAAGTAAGTAAGAGCCCCAAGGAATTGTTCTTCCTCTGCACCATTGCGGCTGCCTTGTTCACTTCTCCTTTTGGTACAGGCCATGATGACAATAAGGGAGATCAATAATTCCATCACTTTAGATTCCCTATACTTTTATCATTTAGGAAGGAGGCAGAGAAATCCAAATATCTGCACTACCAGAATTTATTCAGTAGTGGAGTTTACTCCAGAGATCTCTGTACCTCCAAGCCTCACTTCCTTGTTATTAAATAGCTCTGGTGCAATTTACTTCAGAATGAAAGCCCGGTTATTGCCCTGTAATACCGAAGCCTGACAGGAGGCCTTAACCAAATATTCAGAGCTAGCTCTCCTCCGTAGACAAACAGTTGGATTTTCACAATCAACTAAATATGAGAACTGCAGTTACCTGCATAATAGTTAACCCTGAATTCCTTCTCTACACTCTATATATCTTGGGATGCTTGGTGGTCCTTTGTATGAGTCTACTTTGCATATAAAAATGTTCAAAGTATCATAGTCAATG